CACACACACACACACACACACAGAGAGAGAGAGAGAGTGAGTCAGCAAGGGAATCAGTTCAGACATGATTGGACGAGAGGTTCCTGTCTAAATTGCCCTCAAAAGATTGGAGGAGATTAACAGGCTTTCAGAGGGGTGTGTGTGTGTGTGTGTGTTTGTGTGTAATGATGTATTTACTGTATATAGTCCACCATTTATACAGTACATGCATGTTCATAAAAGTCTGCTCCGTCCATTAAGTGAGTCATGGTTGTTCCATTTCACCTTTCTGCTGCCATTTAATGACATTTAATTGAATTATTTGGTCAGGGATCATCTACAAGGAGATGTTAATCTCACGGAAAAAGAGGAGTTGACTTTGTACCAACTATTCACGACTGAGAGTTCTCGATTAACTTTGGCTTTCTTGAAGCTCGCAGATCTAACTAGCCGAGCTCCACATTGTGCTTCGTCATTCCTTGCTCTTGTGTTTGTTCTGCCCATTTTTAGTGGTCAAACTCTTTGCTATTCCACACACTTTATCTCTGCACAGACTGACCTACATGCATCTGCAGAAATATGTCTCTCTTTTCTTTCCTCCCCTCCTTATTTTTGAAGATATGATGTTTAGAGCAAGAATGCCAGTGCATAGCTCTGTAGGAAATCATAATCTCTCCACCTTCTGATTTCACTACTCTGTATTTTTCTCACAGCCCCATTTCTCACTCAGTAAAGTTCAGTTTCTCTCTCTCTCTCTCTCTCTCTCTCTCTCTCTCTCTCTCTCTCTCTCTCTCTCTGTCTCTCTCTCGTGACAGTGCTTAGTACAGAGCCTAGCAGCTTGCTTCTCTGTGGTTTTCCCTCATGAATGCTCCTTTGTTTCATGTGTGTGTCTCTGTAGACTCACAGCTCTAAGGCCTAAAGTTGTTTCACCTCCTAACCCTCTGACACATCGCACTGTCCACCATCCCTCCATCCATCCATCCATCTATCCATCCAACGTGTCAGCTGATAATTTTTTTCTACTCTCTTCTGGTCTCCTTTTCATTAGAGGAGACCACTGTTAGACTTCCCTTCCCCCAGAGAGCCAATTTGTGTTGCTCTGAAACACATCAAAAGATGTGAAACACTGATGTTTGTCCTCTTGCTGCAATTCCTTCTGATTTATACAGAAAGAAAACACAGACTGCAGACTCTGAGTGAAAGTGCCATAGCTTTTGTTACCCTGAGTATGAACTCGAGGAGTGTATGTCTGATGGAGCTGAGTGCTGTGAGCATCACTGAACTAAAAATAAACCGTTTTTATAAAGGTTGCAACAGGTGTGCTGAAAATGTATTCAAAAAAAGCATGCAATACCTTTGTAACTTCCTTTTCATGAATTTGAATGACATACAAATCAATCATAACAGCTAGATTGCCTGTGTGGGAATTGGACTAAACTGACATCTACCCAAATTTCCCCACATACAGTATTTTTGATCTGTCACACAGGACACACAGTCACAGTGTGTGTAGATGATGCATGCAGATTCGGCCCTGCACTGTCTATGCATTGCTGCATACCTATCTCTGCTGGATTGGGTGAGAGTCGTTCACCTAAAAGACTGAGGCGTCTCACAGCGTTTGGAGTGTGTGTGTGTTTGTGTGTGTGTGTGTGTGTGTGTGTGTGTGCCACGCCGGCTTCCTGACAGAGCCGACTGAACAATATCTCTGATTAGAGCAGCACATGGTTTCACTTCTGCTGCTGAAACAAAAGCTGATTGGCATTTTGTAGAATGTGTATTGCGCGTACAAACACGCACTCAACATGCGTGGACACAGGGAAAAACAAATGCTGACACACACACATATTTACACACATTGACTAAAACACACTTTTGCAAGAATGCACCGCAATAGACACACTCAGCATCGAATGCAGTAATGCGGATACACATAAATGAACTCACAGAAAATAATCAATTTCCAATCAGGTCCTGTAATAGTCCTCAGCTCCCACACTCCCACTCCTCAGAGGTTCTCCTATAGCAGCAAGTGGCTGAATACTGAACAGCACAGAGTGACTGAGGCTGAGTACACAGTCAGTCTGTAACTATTTTATTGAACCACAATCCTGCCTTCAGTAACCATCGAGTGTGTGTGTGGTTGTGTGTTTGGCAAGTATCTCCCCATCATGTGCTCCGTGTTGCTTGTGTTTTGATTTTGTTTGATAGTAAGTGGAGCTTGAGTTGAGATTATTTTGTCATGAGTAATGTAAAGGTTTACATTTTAATGTGCTGTAATTATTACTTTTACTTTGTAGGAGCAGGATTATGAACTACCGACTGACTTTATGTTTTTTTAAAAGATGTTCAATCTAACCAGTCTTTTTCTCTTTTCTCTTCCATGTTGCTGCTTCCACTGACTTCGTTCAACAAAGGTAAATAAATCCATTTCTCCCATCTACCTCTCACTGTATTCTCCTTTGCTGAAGCTCCTGGCTGTGTGACCTGATGGCGCAAAGTTTCTTCCTTGATTTCTTTTGGAAAAATCTGTTTCCCGTTTGCAGTTTTTCCCTTTTTCCACGGGTCTATCCTTTTATTTAGTGGTTAGGATTTTAAAAGAGTTTCCGTCTACTTGAGTCAAGTTCATGGCTGAGACACAAAGGCTGAGATCAAACTCTGTCTGATGGAGGAATTTAACTTGTGTGTCTGTTGCTCTGTCTTTCCTGTCTGGATGTGTGTCCTCCACACACTTGCTGTTTGCTGTTTCTCAGTCAAATATTTGCCAGTGTACCCGCACTCTGTATCAGAGTTAACAGTTAACACCTCTGGACCAGTTTATAGTGTGTTGCCAGGCCCTGGCTCTGTTAATCCAGAGGAACGTGCGTAAAAGGTGGAAAAACACACCGGCAGCTAGCTGCTGCTCTGTCGCTATGGTTACCGGTCACACCACCACCATCCTCTGGCCCGGTGTGTGTCGGCTGAAGAAAAAGTGTGTGTTTCTGTGTGTGTGTGTGTGTGTGTGTGTGTGTGTGTGTGTGTGTGTGTGTGTGTGTGTGTGTGTGTGTGTGTGTGTGTGTGTGTGTGTGTGTGTGTGTGTGTGTGTGTGTGTGTGTGTGTGTGTGTGTGTGTGTGTGTGTGTGTGTGTGTGTGTGTGTGTGTGTGTCCAGGGTTGCCTTTGATGAAGCAGGCTGCTGTTGACAGGGTCATGTGAAAGAGGAGACTCCCAGGGGAGCGTTCAGGATCGCTGAACAGTTTTCAACATTTTTTTTGTCCAGATTTCTTAAACTTAAAAGAGTTTCTGAAGAGAGCCTGTTTGCTTTGAACTACACTGTGACTTTGTGTGCTCCGGATTTTTGAGGGGTGTGTGTGTGTGTGTGTGAAAGATATTTTCATACGATGCGGTACCTTTTGCATACATGTAGTAACTATAGAAAACTGTTTTCATATCTGCTCACGAAACAGTTGGATGCACGCAGTGAGAAAACAATCAAAGCTTTTCTTTTCTTTTCTCTGCAATGTCATTGATGTGAGGAAACAAATTAATTGAGGCAAATTGGTAGCTATTGCCCCTTGAACTTTGTGGGTCAGATAATGATCTGAGGTCATCCCAAATCTCACACACACACACACACACACACACACACACACACACACACACACACACACACACACACACACACACACACACACACACACACACACAGACAGTCCCTCCTATTGATCAGTAACTGCTTTCTTGTTAAACAGAAAGGCTGCCGGCTCTCCCAACTGTCAGCAACCAGTGAGCTTCTCAGACAGATTTCAAGGTGTTTGTGTACCAGCACTGAGAAATGTTTGGAGGTGTGACAGGTTGTGTTTGGGTGTAAGAGTGCGTTTATGTTTGTGACAAAGAGAGAGAGAGGGAGACGGAGACGGGCGGATACAATTGACACTTGAGAGGTTTTCATTTCAAGGAAACAGACTCTAAAGAACATGTTGATTCCTGTCAGGGTTGGAATTTTTTGAGCATTTCAGATCTATTTTAATCACTTTATGTCGCAGATGGCACTGCAGTTGAATGCAACTGTAAAATAAAATAGAACTGAAGAAGAAGGCATGGATTGCTGGAACGATTGCTGAGATAGGAGATTGAATTTCTGATGAAATTATGAACTAAGAATAAGAGTAGCTGTCCCTCATGAATGAGCAGGTTGAGGATAAGCATAAAACAACCTTATTTGCAAATGTAACTTTATTTCTACATAAGTGTTTTCCTTTAATGTGCTCCTAAATGTTTTCTAAGTAGTGCAAATGATCCACAAAGACAGTTTCGACGATTAAGTGCTAACTTTTTTGCCTCAAATGAAAAATCGCACATGGGTAACCTGCTATAGTATTGATTCTGTTTCAACATGCAGTTCTTGAAATCACGTTTTTATTATTTTATTTTAAAATATGTATGTAATTATTTATTTTAGAAATGAAGACACAGATCAGTTGTTTTATTTAACCTCTTTATCCATATTATTTATTTAGGTTTATTCATTTACTATTCATTATTCAACATGATTTTGTGTCGTGTTGCGTAACTGTCAAATAGTTTCAGCACTATTTTGGTCGATTTCCTGCCTTTTCTAGTTTTCTCTCTTCTGTAAGCTTAAAGCCCCGGTTTCCTGTAATGAACTTGAGCAGTAGTCCGTTTACATTTCCTTATGTAATTACACTTTTTATGTGGAGAGAGACATTTAATGCAACCGCTTTTCTTCCACAATATACACTCAGTAATTTGGAAAATTTGTGTTACTTCTGGTTACCATGGCATTAGACCTCACCTGGCCTAATCTGCCCTCTTTGGTGTGTGTGTGTGTGTGTGTGTGTGTGTGTGTGTGTGTGTGTGTGTGTGTGTGTGTGTGTGTGTGTGTGTGTGTGTGTGTGTGTGTGTGTGTGTGTGTGTGTGTGTGTGTGTGTGTGTGTGTGTGTGTGTGTGTGTGTGTGTGTGTGTGTGTGTGTGTGTGTGTGTGTGTGTGTGTGTGCCAGAGGACCGAGCTGAGAAGACGCAGTTTAAACAAGACTGATCAGAATATAATATTTTATTGCTTTATCATTCATATATTTTAATGTGTCAGGCATTGTTTGGATGGACAACACAGGGGATTAAAGCAAACATCACTGCTATGGGAAAATGCACCATGCAATGGGCCTTTTTCAGTATTTTTTTTTGATATTTTGCAGACTAAATGATTAATTGTAAAGACAACTGAAAGTGTACAGTTTAGCTTTATCATCCAAATACGCATCCAGTATATCTGATATTTAGTCAGTGCACCAGACTTACGATGACTTAACTCTCCAAACAACTGACAGTAGTAAACATGAGACAGTTGGCTTAGTGACAGATGAGTGCAGAGGCGTACTGTCAGCTAAAATATTGACATTAGTAGAGGAACACATGCATGAGACGGTGGTGAGAGCAAGACTGTGCAGCAAAATTAGTAAAAGAGAATAAAGTGGGTGTTTGAGAGCCCCCTTCTCGTCTGCTGCTCCGTAATCTGCTGCAGTATGTTGATCCAACAGGCAGCTGAAAGTCACACACACATACACACACACACACACACACACACACACACACACACACACACACACACACACACACACACACACACACACACGACAATGTGAAGCTGACTGAATGACAAATGTCTGACACTCAAACATTCATGCATAAACTCCAGCTTCAACATACCACGCTGCTTTGAAAAAAAAAAAAAAAAAAGCACAGCTGAGCACTGAGTAATAAAAAGCACGCCTCCTTTTTTTCTAATTTCCTACTCAGCACACACACACACACACACACATGCTATCGCTCTAGACGCAAGTGAAACACATGTTTCTAGCTCTGGCAGTGACATCACCCGCCTTGTGGTCAAAGTCCAGTTCCTCTATCCGGCTTAGAGCTGCTAACACACTGCCACACTCGGAGCTACCGTAACCACTGACACAGGCGCTCGGCAGACGGAAGACAAGACTGGCAGAATTAGTAGTAGTAGAAGAAGAAAAGAAGCGAGTAAGAGATGACGGATTATCTACGTGATTAAGGATGGCTCTTCTTTGACAGCTGGGATCCTGCGGGCCGCACAGATCAACTGCAGCCTCCAGACTCTCCCTGCTCCTCCCTTCTTTACTCGTTTTCTGTTCTCTTTTCACACCTTTTCTTACCTCCCCTCACTGATATTAATTTCCTCGAGGTTCCAACATAACCATTTCTTACCAGTTTCCTGTACTCACCCGCTACTTCTTTCAATCATTGCTCTCTCTTGACGCTCCTCCGTCCCCCTCTCTCGTTCTCTCTTTTCTCTGGGAGGGAGGGATGAGCTCCACGGCCGCTTACAGGCAGTTCCTCCAGGATCTGGAGGAGAAAAGAGGTCGGTAATCACTTTAACCTTGTCACCTGTCATTTACAAGCTGTTATTAAGCTTGTGATTATAATAAAAAAAACAACAGCTGTACACTTTTATAGGCGTATTCACGGACTGATTGTGCTTTACAGAGGCTATTATGGTTTTATAATGCTCTGGATCTTTTATTATCTCTGTTTGGAGGAGTACAGCGTGATGTTGCACGGGTGGGTTGCTCCCCAATGCTGTGAATCAGCATAAACCACACTATGGGTTGGGCCCTAAATAGGTGTCATACCTGCTCTTCAGGGATACTTGTGCAATGAGATAGTATGGTATGTTTTTCTAAGCTTTGGAGTGCTGAAATGATCTTCACTTTTTATTCTGAATGAGGCTTCAAGTAGATTCTGCTGATATGGAATACATATATTCTTTTAAAGCTGCTGTGACTACAGGTGGTCTAATCTATTAAAAAATGAATGATCAGAGGTTGAATTGATTTACAAATTTAAGGGATTTGAGGAAGTTGTTGGTTTAAATCCCTCAGTTGGCTTTAGAAGTAGAGTTGGAATTGCTTCACTCACAACTTTTAAAGTTGTTTTTCAGCTCCTGTGTGTAACAGTCACATGTCCTTTACGTCACTTCTCTGTGGCTTACATTAAGGTCAGCTTCGTGTGTGTCTGTCTGTTTACCTACTCCACTACTGTATGGCGTCCAGATAAGACGAGGGTCAGTAGAAGGACGAACGGCTGCCTCCTTTCATATTAGCTATTAACACTGCTGTCTGCTGTCACCCTGAATGCATTGTCAACACTCTTTCATCACATTTATCTGGTGGCTCCAAGTTCTTAATTAGCCTCAACGGCTGAAATGTTGCTAATTGTTTATATTAGCGCTGGTTGTGGCGTGTCAGACTTTTCAGTCTCTGCTTTTTGTCTTCAATGATCCTCGTTGACACTGGCAAGAAATCAGACCTGTGTGTGTGTGTTGTGTGTGTGTGTGTGTGTCTGTGTGTCTGTGTGTGTGTGTGTGTGTGTGTGTGTGTGTGTGTGTGTGTGTGTGTCTGTGTGTGTGTGAGAAACGCACAAAAGAGAAAAGACAACAGCAGGATGGTTTGTTGGAGTGTCAGGTGACGCACAGGAGCAGGCAGGGATGCTTCGCTTCAGCAGCTGTTATCACAACAGTTAGCCAAGCGTATTATAAACCAGCCTCTCTCTCACCTTCTTTGGGCCTGAGTCAGGTTCTTCTTGAAATATTTATTTTCCTAATACTTTGAACGTTTTACATCTTTTTTACATGTTGTATAAACTGAACAAAACCAGCATTTGTTTTATACGTTCTCGTCGTTTTTGTGGTCACTGTTGACACAGCCGGGACCCAGCGTGAGTTTTGGCTCCGTGGCTTCAGAAACTAGAGTAAAACCTTTGGAATTGAAGGAAGATTAAAGCTTGTATGCGTAAACTCACTGTTCGATGGTAACAATACCGCGATATATCGTTATTTCGCTTATAGTTTCTACAGAATGTAATTTAATCTCGGCACAGGGCTGTTACTATCAGTTACCTAATAGTAATAGTAAAAGCAGTAGCAGAGGCAGAGTTTCATTCATGATTAAAGTTGAGAGCTTATCGCACTTCACAGCCAACTGTGTCTGCGTGCCATTTGTTCCACTTTCTCACAACTGCTGTCAAGCCTTTCACTATCGTAGGTCCTCAATGGGCAGCATGTCTTTACATACACTCGCAGTTATGGCACGTACCATGTCTTCAGCAACAGTTTTAAACATTCATACAGAGTGTGTTTCAGTTGGGGGTGATGCAGGAGGCTCCTTATTGTGATCTCTGCTCTGTCTGCTACAACTGTATTCTGTTGGATTCCCTCATCAAACCATGGATTAACACTTTGTTTAAGGCTACATCTTTTGGTCTCGCCTTTGTAGCACTGTCAGCTCATCGCCTGCCCTTTCTGGATATGTAAATGTGTTTTTGTTTTAGCATAAATGGGAAGTGGAAACTCACTGGTTAGCATGCAGTGAGTTGAGGTGGAGGACTTAATTTGGCAAGATAATGTAAATCAGTTCTATACTTCACAAACTACAACCTCGTTTATATCATAACACACCCCTATTATAGATGTAAAGGACATCAAACCTTTTGTCTGCTCTTCTCCAAAACCTTTTCTCTCCTTCATTTAGCGCAAATGAAACCTCTCTACAGTTGTCCCACTGTCAAGGCTATATTCAAATTTAAAACGCTGCCCCCCTTCGTCTTTTGTCTAGCAGTGTTACTATGGCCATGGCCACACCTGCTGCTACTTGTGGTTTGGTGATATTATGTGGCAAGTAACCCCACCCACCCCCCCCCCCCCTCCAACAGCTGCTCCGTCTGAGGCCTTGCAGCAAGATGTCAGGCTGGGTTAGAATCACCTACAATCTTCTTTAACCCCTTCAATTACAATGGAGGTTAAACTTCTTAACCACTTTTAAAGCCAGTGGGGAAATGTAATCATCACGAGGGTTATTCGTCTATCAAACACTGGACGGCATGAGCTTAAGCCATTTTTACATAGGCATATAGCGGAAGCTCAAATCCAACTTTAACTTATTTACCCACAACTAAGCTAAGTGTGGTTGAGTTGTCAAATTGGACTAATGAGGTTTCTATCTTCCAGTAGGTGTAGTTTTTGATCACAGGAATACAGAATACACTTTAAAAAGTACCAATGAGTCTAATATTGCTCTGTTGTTTGCCTTCTGGTGTTAAGCCCACAGGCTCTTTCTGTCTGACCACCCGTGGGGCTGCAGCCCCTCTGCCATCTGCATCCACTCACATCTCCTCTTCTGTCCCCTTAACCTCAGTGAGGGACCCTGGAACATGTTTTACCTATTGAAATGAAATAACAAGTGTACTCCTCTGCGCCGTCCATTGTTTGAGATTGTGTTTATCTGCCGTCACCTGCCACAGGAGACTAATGGTCCGACGAATAGCCGCGTGACAAAGAAAGGGAACGCGTGTGAGCGGGTTTGAGGCCGTGGCTGTCCGAGGAGTTTGGTCACAATTTGTTTAAGGCGGTGAAGCTGACAGCTTCTATTCTTATCTCTCTTACGGTATTCACTCTCTCTGCCTCTCTACCTGGTCACTGTAGTCACATGACACGCTGCAACCTCTCAGGATGGATTTATGCCAGGCATGTTTGTCTGCATGTGCCCCGCCTCACTGCTTTACATTCTCATTTCGCTCAGAGTTTTCTGTGTACCTTTGTGTTTCTGTGTCAGACCAGATCTGTGTCAATGCCCCCAGTGCTAACAGCAGGGTTGTTTTAGAGTTCACGAACCAAGGACTCGTACTTGACTATGAAAGCGCTCTACTATGAGATACAAATGTCTTTGTTTTCAGCCTTTTATTGTCACTTAACATTTAAAATAGTGCTTATTAACTGCCAGGGCAATGACCAGAAAGTTAGTCAAACTACTTTTATGTTATAGATTAATCCTTTAAAGGCAGAAAATGCTAGAAATTCAATGTTGCAGCTTTTCAAATATGAGGCTTTTCTTTCAGCTTCATAACATTGCAAATTGAATATGGTTTTGTTTTGGACTCTTGGAACATTGTCTAACCCAACCTTAACAATCAATCAATTAGTCAAACAAACCGCTATTATTCCTAAACCACAATCATTTCATTCATGTTCAGCTAGTAACTACCTCTATTGTGTCACGGGTGTCTCTGTTCTATTCTTTGACTTCATGAATGGAGAACATGGAGTGTGTTTGTGACAGTGAGTCATCCAACTAGGAGGTGTATATTTGCTCATTATTTACATGTTTCCAATGCAACTCAGAGTTCCCCTTACTGCTTATAGCCACTGTGACAACACCCAGCCTTGAATCATTCTGCCTTCATTTACTCACACTTTGACATAAACTTATATTCCAGTTTGAACATATTTTTAGAGGCACCTGACACTCTGAGGACCGTAGTACAAAGGTTGAGGCCGTAACCTTGGCAGTGTTGGTGCCCTTCTCTACCGTGATTAATTTTTTCTTCCTCTCATGTTGCTATTTTGGTAAATGTCAAACATAGCCTGATTCATGTTAACCAAAAACGTACAAGCAATTTTTCCTCCTGAGGTTGTAATTCGGGGCAGCCATGTGGCTCAGATGACCAAAATGCTGTCTGTGATAAGAAGAGGGTATCTGAGTCCAAGCTGCACTGTCTGCCATGTGGTGCAGGTGGTAGTGGACCCGACCCTCAGCTACCTGTCACATACAGGAGACCTTTACCTCAGGAGCTCACACAGACCACTCCCAGACAGTGAAAATGGTAAAAACAGTATGCTACCATGTGTGGTCCAGTTTATAATAATCCAGTCATATGAGTGGTTTTTGACTTTGTTGTAAACCTAACATTAGCTCCATTGTTGTCTCTGCTGTCATGAGTTTTGCCGGCACAGTCATGGGTATAAAGTTGTTTTTGAATTGGATTAACTTGGATTGGAGGGATGAATGTGTGGATTATAGATACCTTATTTGCATTTTTCTTTGCCTTGATGCAAAAACATCTTGAGGTTTGAAAACACGTTTTCTAAATGGTACTTTCTGACGTCTGTAATCACGCTGTGTGCCAAGCAGTGCAAATTACCATAATGAGAGGGAGGTGCCGGGGCATGTGTGTGTTTCTAGGGAGGGGACGAGGGCATTTCAGACATCAGGTTAGTACAAAGTGTGTAAATTACCTTGTTTGGATGGTAGGTCCACCTGTAAAGCAGGATGGGGCAGCTGGCTGATGAGCTAAGTGCTTTTAGAGATGATTGGAGAAGAAGAGCACAGCAGGTAGATGGAGCCAGTGTGTGTGTGTGAGTGTGTGTTTGTGTGAGTGTCTGAACAGTTAATTTCACTTCACCTTGACTTCTCCCACTCCCTCACAAACATTTTAATCCACCATGCTAACCCTGCAAGCAACAATCCCTTACATTAACATTACACATTGGCACACTCCAGCTTGTGA